TCATCAGCCAATCCATCAAACCTGCCTAACATAAAGAGTAGTTCTTTAGAATTTCATTGTAATAGAATGGAATACATTGTGACGGTTGGTGCTTGGCGGATGTAATGCCAGTCTATTACACTCTGAAGTTTGGTCACTTAAAACACTTTTGAAAGAAACGATTGGCGACAAACGCGAGTGATATTCGTTGATAAGACCTTCAAGAAAATTAAATGGCAAAAATCGCTGGTAATTTCAAAGTTTTTGAACAAATTTAGGAAGTTGACCTGCCTTTCAAATAAGTCTCCTTCATATTCATTCATTCAATTGTCAAATATGACCTGTGCTCGATATTCACGGTTAAAAATTAATTATCTTAAATATTTTAGCCAATTTCGAAAGTAAAAATTTATTAATCTGGGTCAATTCGCCGTACGTTTTTCAAAGCGTATAAAAGTGAAAGGAGTGAATAAAGTGAATCTTAGTCAAAACGTTTTTCGGCGGCTACTTCAAATAGAAGTAGACAATGGTCACATTGCTTACCGATCACAGGCCAAAACAAAGAAGTTTCAAATTGCTAAAATTTTGCACGCTTTGAAAGTGTTATTCCGATCTCAGCGCAAAGATGGTCTCAAAAGGCATCCAATTAATAAAAAAAGGATAAACATTGTGAACTTTGTCTTAAGTGGAAAGGTCACAAACTGCCATTTTCAAACGAGGGCTCTAGCAGAACTTGCGCATTTGTCGGCGTGGCATGATACTAGGATAGGGAGCGTGAAATGCCAATGCAGCAGAATCGGATACCCTCACCTTACAATAACGAACGTCGCTCCAGAAACCTTTCCCTAATTCGCAAATTCAGCCACATGAAACTCCTTTAGTATGTGCAGCGAAGCCACGAAGACAGCGTCGATGCAGCCCGTAGAGCAGTCACGAGGCAAACATTTTCGTCAATGAAATAACGGATGGTGTCAGCGGTGCTTTTAACAGTTCTTCACACCACAGTGGCAAGTGTGTGTTGCCAATAATCCCGCATGTCAGGCACTGACCAGTCCAAACGCTGCTAATCAAGATGATAGATGGCAATGTCTAAACAGTGTAAAGATGTTCCTTATGAACGAAGAGTAAACCCTTAAACCCGCAAGCATTCTTTCACACAGAAGACTTCAAGCACGGTTTTAATTTCGACGTTGTTTGGAAACTTAACTACTCAGCGGTAAGATACTTGAGCGGTGTAACCTTTTCACCGGTGATAATCTCGGCCAAGGGAATTCTTAGGCTGCAGGAGTCATTCCAGTGCACAATCAGCGCGTGGAATGCCGCATCACCACACAATCTAGCGATGAATCAAGAACACTTGCAATTTTGAAAGCTTGTTTAATAAACTCGTAATTCTCTCTAATATCTAATTTATCCAAAGAACTAAGTCGAAGAAAATTCAGTTCGCATTCCTTAACATTTGTTCCTTCCTTCTTCAGTAAAAACTCTAAAATTCCGGCTTTACTTAAAAGGAAGAAGCACAACCAGAGGCCGACCCATCCCATACCATTTTAAGGAGGCACGCAAAGTTAAGGTGGACTTAAGAAAGTTAAGAAATTGCTGATGGATGGCAAGCAAAGTAGCCTTTATGCAGGAAAATCTGAATGGTATCATAAAACGGATTGTAGTCACGCTTATGTGCAGCTATCCGCCATGGTCGACCCATAATCGGTGATGTTATGAGAGCCCATACAAGCAACTCATAATAATAAATTCAATCAGGCGTCTAAATGTCGTCTTTCAAGCCTCCATAAGCGACACTAAAGAACTCCAACATGGCGGGATTAGAAGCAGAACAGTTTAATCAGATCTGTTGAGGTAGTTTCAACGATTGCTGTTTGTAAGAGGTCCTTGAAATCTGTTACGATTCTATCAAAAAACTTGATAATTTCGAGGTATTAGTTTGAAAAGAATACCGTCATCAAAAGAAGGGTAACTTTGCAACATCGTGCAAAATGGAAAAATGTCTTATCAACGAAATTACTTCTCATTAGAGCTCACTATTCCATCTGCCTTTCGAATAACTATCTATTTAGGGTCAATTTTTGTGAAGTCCCAAATGGGGATCCCACTTTAAAAAAATAACCACCAAGGGATGAGGTACGTGTGGCTGGTGCTGAACGGATTTGTAGTGGGTCGGCAGATGATTGGAATAAAAAGTTCTCTTCCCAGAGACGAATGTACTCTAGAAGGGCGTTCAGCCCTATGAGAGATGCAAGCCGAAACCAAAGTAATGGATAAGGATGAGCCAAAGCGTTTGTTGCGAGTGAGCAGCGACGAAGTTTGACATAATCAAAACTTGATTGAGTTGCGGACGACAAATTCAACAGAAAATGACACAAAATTGGGGATGAGCCTTCATACAGCTAATATTATTTATAATAACGGGACCTGTTCACGGGAATTTCCAATTTTGGACGTTTTTGAGATCAACAACGGTCATAAAGATAACTTCACTGACCCAAAATTTTGCGGCAGAGAAAGTAAATCACAGGGTCCACCCAGCGTTAACTGATTTTCTGTTTGATGGCCTAAAAGATGGCAACAATTGTCTAGCTGGGATTTCGCCCAGAAGCCCGCGTAGTTGTCCGTCAATGATTCAGCCTCCACTGGAGGCAGCGGAACGAATACTGGTCGATTAAGGCGACGAGCTGGAAAAAAAGAGTAGACAAAGTTCAAATAAATTGAATTGATTCAGAGGGACCTGTTGACTTCAAGGCGTTGTTGCGTGAAGCCTGAAATTATCAGAAAGCGACAGAATGGGCTCGTGAATTGCAAAACTTGCATTCATTTATGTCCTCTCGGTGTAAAACACTTTAGTCCGTTTCCTAATGTCTCATCTCAAACGCGTTTCAGTCGCTTTAAGGAATTTCTTCCAATCCCGTGATCAAATGCTGAAAAAAAACTTATTAATAATGTGTACAGTGCTTTAATTGACACTTTTAAAACAAAGAATACACCTTTTGCTGTCAAAATCCGAATCAGTTAACTAAGTAGAGGGAAATCGTGATGCGAAACCCAGTAAAATCAGGATTTATACACAACACAATACACGATATCGATAAAAATGTGGAAATTCAATGAGCTATCATAAGTAAACGGGACCTACCCTAGAGGTAAATAGTTAACACTTCCTAGATGGTCTAGCGGTGTAATATGACAGCGAGTTCTATTAATTCCTTTGACAAATCTGATCCCCGTTTAGAACAAAAATGCAAATCCTCACAGACTGATATGAGCCTAAGTCAATTTTATTGCTCAGAACCCATCCAACCGGTTTGCGACATACGATTTAGTGAAACTAGTCTCCATCAGACGCGTTTTTGACTCCGGACTCAAGGGAGAAAATTGGGGCGTCGTACGTATACAATGCTGGTAGTAAACGTAGTCAAGAAACAGGCATTCGTTGAAGCTAAGATAGGAGAAACAATTATTATAAAAATATTGCCTTTAATTATTTTTAACAGAAAAGTGAAATTACAATGACAGTAGCCAAAGTGAAGTGACTTCTCGAAATGCATTAATACCAGCTATATCATTTACAATCTTCCATACTTTTGCATATGAGTACAGAAACAAGGAAGTAAACATTCTCAAAAGGAGGATAGAGGAGTTAGTGCACCTTCCTCATCTTCCTCAATAAGGCTTTCTGTAAGCGTACTTCAACATGATGCAAGAAATCCAGTAGTAAAAACTTATGTCGATGCAGAGAAACCAGACCCCAAAAGCTTTTTAGCCTTCTTGCCTCAGTTTCTAAATTTAAACGAGACCAGTTTGTTGACGGTTGCAGGAGAGGTCAAAGAAAACCGAGACTTCCTTTTTGGGCACTTATTCATTGCTACGAAGCACTAAGGCATTCTCCCCTGAAAATAGGTAAAAGTACCTACTCTTACATTAGTTTCAACCCCCAAATCCCATAGAAAATAAGCTTAGAAAGTGTGGTATTCCAATCTTCTTACCTGAGCTTAGCGTCGCAAATATGTGACAGTATGCGTTCTTTATTAGTTTATGATAGCAACTGGCCTCTCAAAATTATGATTTTGAAACAAAGAAGAGGCCGGATATTATTCTTGTTCCAAGAAGAATTGCTACACTTTCTCAGTTTTGAGCAACGGCTGAGGTGGTCAATTTGGTAGTGCGAGTGCCGATGTCAAGGTAAAACAATAAAACACCTGCGTGGCTGTGGTAGTCGATTTGCTTGGGACCTTGGTGGTGGGTGCGTCAAATTGCATTTTGAAATGAATTTAACCTCCATGAAAGTGTGAAACGTAACCATATGCGATTACGATACTTTTGCCAAACCACATCTAATAGTGACGATCAACAGATTGTTGAGTACCTACCACTTTCAATTAAAGGCATCTTCACCTATTACTACATATTATAAAAATAGACATTTTTACAAAGTCGCGTACGTTAGTGAAGCAGTTCGGAGTGCATTCTAACCAAGGAAAGTTGCTCAGTTGTCAGATAAACGCACGTCAAAAATGGGCCACGCTGCGAAACAATGTATTCATTCTACTGGCCATCTGTCCCGTCTAGTGATTGACGTATCCAAACATCGATGTATGCAACCACTTGTCAACCTAGACACCAATCTACTCTCTCATTCATCTAGCTATCACCCTATTCATTCATCAACCTGACAGTTTCTTTATCATTTTATCTAACTGCTCATCTGTGTAGTCATGCATCTAGCCCGACGTGTACTTCAACCAATAGACGACTTGCCATTCAAAAATGAAGCAAGCAAGAGACCTGACTCTGAAAAAATGCCACTGCATATTTTGGCCTCATTTTCTATACTTGAGGGAGTAGAATAACAGTGATAGCCGTAGACCCGAATGGCAGATCTTAGCGAACTACCGAGACATTTAGGATTGACAAATGCGACTTTTCAAATACAGAGCTTTTGAAATTTTTCATTGATAAGGTTTTTGAGGTAAGCAGACTTCTGTTGCAGATGGCATGAGCCTGATATACGTTATCTCGTAAGCAGATTGTGAGTTCGTGTTGCACAATACGCTAAAAAATAATGGAGTTTAAGTGGCAGCCATCAAACTAACCTTCGCAGTTAGTACTAATGGGGAGAAATGACATTTCGCGAAGGGAAGAAAAGATGTACCAATCATACACTCGGCTATTAACTCATTCATGTACGCATCCCTCAACCTTATCACCCATTCATCCGTCCATCTACGCAAGGATAGATGAATGTATCAAGAGTCTTGTTCATTCATTAATTATCAACATTGTCACCCATCTTTTCACGTGCCTTTTCGTCTCCCCCACTCAACCATCTAATCAAGCATTCAACAATTCTTCGCATCCACGAGCGATATTCGGAAACAGGGTTTTATCGAGAGGTAGATAAGACTTATTAGCAAACAGATTTCAATCATAAATTTCATAATTCTGAATGCGTGGCCCCATGTTAAAGACGTGAAAAACTCCAAACAATTGTGCTTAATGAGAAATTATGGCAAAAAAAGTTCATTTGACCAATTTATGCATTTGAAAGGAAGAGAGGAAGTTGGAAAAAGTATGACGGAAGAAATAAAAGCTTCAACGATCCATCAAGACATTTATCCACCCCATCTAGCCTATCAAAATCACCAAATATTTATAAAGCT